AATGAATGAACAAATGAATGAACAAATGAATGAACAAATGAATGAACAAATGAATGAATATAATGGAGGGAAGATGGGAGGAAGGAGGGATGGATGGATTGACAAATTAATGATTGAATGGGTGAACGAATGACTGAAAATAGAAAACCCACAGAAGAATCCTCAAATGATAGGAGAGAGCCAAAAGCAATTTTATTCACATATGATGGCAAGTTCACGGATCAAATCCATGACCTCAGTAGTGAGAGATCCTGTATTAGCATCACACACCCCTGTGGTTTACTGTGGTTTTTCATATTCTGTGAACTTGGTAGTTGCAAGCTGCATGCTGAAATTATATTTTTTGCTGCCGTCAATCAGTGAAGAACCAATTTTATAACAAGCCGTTGAAATGTCGGAGTTCGCAATATTGAATATCAATAACCACAGTTATTCCAAGTTGTACTACTTGTGAGAGGGAAGTGCTGTTGACAACTGCCAATCAGAAGTCCCCCATTCTTATCTTAATGTAAGCAATATTGCATTGACATTTGTGTGCCTATTCATCATAGTTTCCACCAGGGTTTGCAGCGGGAGATGTGGGAAGCAAGCAGCTTGATCTCAAGCTCTCCAACCATGTCTACAACAACTTGAAGCAACACTCCTACAAAGAGGAGAGACAGAGTCACAGACTACACGAGAAGAAAGAACACTCAACACATGTGAGTAATAAGTTGTTTATAGAGGATGACACTTGACTACAGGTAATTCAACAAATGCATGGCCTTTTTTAACATCTCTAGTTAATTAGGAACAGAATGGCCATTGCTGTGATCCTCAACTTGACCTTCATCACAAACAAAAAAATAATTGAGTTTTTGGCAGCACCTTATTCTCAGTTATTTTAACCTGAGGGTTGGTCTGGCTGAGGCATGAACCACGACCGCCTGCACAATATACCAATGCTCTGACCAATTTCTCTTATTGTTAAACAGGAGCAAGCCTTGGACCCCAAGACACGCCTTCTGTTGTACAAGTTGGTGAATAACGAGACACTTGAGAATGTGAATGGGTGCATTAGCACAGGCAAGGAAGCTTGTGTGTTTCATGCTAATGGAGGAAGGTTAGTATATGGCATGGCATTTCTTCATGTGTCTGTGACCCCGACGACAGCACTGTACCCACCACATATGTAGAGCATAAGCTTAAAGACTTTTGTTGTATCAAACCCTCATGAACAACCTCTGTAATGATCTAATTTAAGACACAACTAGCTCACAGGGAGGAAACCTCTTTGGAAAACCCAGAGAAAAACTAAGACTTTGAGGGGAACAGATAAAGCTCACAAAATTACAGGCATCCCAGACCTCCTATTTATCCTATATTTCCTATAATTTGTATGGGATCCTATAAAGAGCCTATATTTAAAGAAAACCTCCTATATTTCGTATAAATAGGACGACTGCTGATTGATACATTTATATTTTACACTGTTTAGCATATTTGGCGAAGGAAATAAAGTGGCCCCTTTTTTTTTTTTTGGTTCTGTTTTTTTTTATGGCCGATCCCTGGTTATGGCACCGAAAAGCCATCTTAGCTCCTATAAAGTGCATATATTTTTGGGAAAAACTCCTATATTTTCCTATATTTAGAACTTGCACAGCCTATATTTCCTATCAAATTTGTCTAAAAAATTGCTGGGATGCCTGAAATCAGGAAACAATTTAAGAGAAACATTGAGACAAATTAAGTAGTAAGAGTTGAGTGAGTGCAATTCCACTTCACCATTCTCAACTGGAATCAAGAAGCTGGTAGACTTTAAATTTGTTAAAAATCTTTCCAATGTTTTTAATTTTAATTTTGATAGGAAGGAGAATGGTGAAGAACTCCCTAAAGAATGTGCCGTCAAGGTCTTCAAGACGACTCTGAATGAGTTCAGAACGCGGGAGAGGTACATCAAAGATGACCACAGGTTCAGAGACAGGTTCAGCAAGCAGAATCCCAGGAAGGTGATCCGTCTCTGGGCAGAGAAAGAGATGTGTAACTTGAGCAGGTAAGTCTCAAACTAGTAAACTAGTAAACTCAAACTGGTCAGTTGGGCATTGACCTGCTGTTATAGAGAGATTTTGCATCAGACGGGAATGTCAAAGACGACATGGTTGACATTCTCAACATGAGGTAAAAATGCTGCTAAAAAGCTTCCTGTCTAGGATGTCAGCCACGTTTAGGATGAAAAAAAAAGTGCTGCCACCATTGTCTTTAACAATGTTCGAATCTTGTTGCTAAATCACTCTAATGGGTTTGAGTTATGGATGGACCAAAACCTAGGGTCTTAAAGTACAGTATCTGATTGAGTAGAAGGTGCTTCCTTTGCTCTCAAAATATCTGCAAATGGTTAGACCTTGGTTGTGGCTTGAATGACCAAATAAAATGGTCAGTCCCATCTCATTGAGAAGTGTTCACACATAGAGGTCCATAAGTTCACCTGCAGTGGCCACAGAAATTAAACCACAGACATGAACTGTGCTGTAAAATCACCCAATAGACCTTTTCAGCTTTGGTTTAATGTTTACCCACTCCAGACCAGATGTGATTATCTTGTGATTGAGATTCTTGTTCAAGTTGCATCCGGTATTCATGTGTCTTCTTATGGGCAGCCGTTAAATGAAGGTATAATACTCTAGGGAGTGACATGTGGTCTGAAATGGGAAAACATTGCACCCAAGCTGAAGAGCTTTATTTTCGATCCAATTGCAACCACATGCAGTGACCATATATTAATGACTGACAGGGGTAAAAAGCAAACCAGTTTTACTGGTTTTACCCAACCTATTCTAAATGGTTTCTTGTTTTGTTCTAGGATGCAGAAGGCAGGGATTTCCTGCCCCAGTGTAGTTCTACTCAAGAAACACATTCTGGTCATGAGCTTTGTTGGGAGAGACATGAAGGCTGCTCCCAAGCTAAAAGATGCTGTTCTGTCTTCAAACCAGCTGAAACTGGCATATGAACAGTGTATTGAGGTACTGCAGTAAAATCATTTTTAAGATTATACTGAGATATTATTACACTACATGCATGACTCGAATATTTATTGCCAGCCTATAGGACTTTAATTTGAGGTGTTTCGGATTTGCTGTTGAACTGTTTGATACTTGCAACTTCAAAATCAGTGTTGATCACAGTAGTGTCTGTATGTCATTGGAAGAGTAATAGCAGATCCCTTGGGAAGCACGGGTGGCGTAGCGGTCAGAGCGCTCACCTCTCATCAATGTGACCTGAGTTCAAGTCCCGCCGGGTTCGGTGTTGTATATGAGTAGAGTTGTTCGTTGCTTCTCTCCTGTGCTTCGTGGGTTTTTTCCGGGTTCTCCGGTTTTCCTCCCTCCTCAAAATCCAACTCCTAAATTCCAATTTGATCATAAAATGAGGGCCACAGGTTTTTTAGCCTCAGGCTATCATTGAGTGCTACCCTCGTGAAGAAAAAGGACGGTAGAGTGTTGGTAGGTTGTCAGTAGGTTAATTTTGGATGTCAGTAGGGTATCTTTTAAAAGAAACTAACAAGCATACAAACCTTTCTAGATGATGTGTGCCATGTATCAGAAATGCAAGCTTGTTCATGCTGACCTAAGTGAATACAACATGTTATGGCATGATAATCGGGTATGGTTCATTGATGTCAGCCAGGCTGTTGAGCCCATCCACCCACATGCCCTGGAGTTCTTGTACCGTGATTGTACTAACATCATAGAGTTCTTCAAGAAGCAAGGAAATCAACAGGTCATGTCTGTACCTCAGCTGTTTCTCAAGGTGTCCGGTCTTGACATACCGCTGTGCGAGGATGAAAGCCTCTTTCTAGCAAAGGTTTGTTGAACATCTTTTTAAAGTCATATAGATTTAAAAAGGCCATCTAAATATCATGTTGGATGGCCAGTGGGGATCCACCAAAATGGCTGCCACACAACAAGCTGGCATGATTGATTGATTGGTTGCCAGGCTTGGTGTTGTATATGAGTAAAGCTGCTTGATAGTTCTCTCCTGTGCTTTAAGAGTTTTTCTCAGATTCTCCTGCATTCCTCCCTCCATAAAAAAATATACTTCTAAATTCCAATTCAATTAAGGTGACAGGTTTGTTAGCCACTGGCTAAGTGCTACCCTTGTAAAACCAAGGACGATTTTTACAAAGTGGGTTTTCAATTTCATTCTACTGAGCGTAAAGAATTATGACAATCAGTGAAGGGGAAATCCCATTCCCAGTGCATAAAATCCCATTTTCACAGCCCCAAAAAGGCGAATCAAAGCTCCCATTTTCCCCCTTCAGGACCCTCTTATAAAACTGGTCAGTTTTGCATGGTATCATTAGCTACCCTTAGACGTCTTCAAGGATGTAGCAGAGTTGGTTTTGATCTCAGAAATAACTTAAATTTCTTTTAGGTTCAGTCATATGAGAGATATGAGATGACCATCGGTGGACGTAAAAATGTACAACCTTATGCCTTTGACTATTTCTTTAACAAGACGTCAAGTTGTGGATCTGATGAGAATGTTTCAGATGACTCCCCAGATGAATTGACGACCAACGATTGAAATTGGTTAAACAAAGCTTTGAAGAAGGTAGTATTTGTAATGTATGCTGTTCGAGTGTAGTGAATGAAGTAAAAGATTAACAAAGGGAAATAAATACATCTAAAGAAAATCATGATGACTTGAGTTTTTAACAAGAGTGTACTCATTCGAAATCAGTCATTTGAGTCATATACATTCCAAATGTATGAGTTCTGTCAACCTTGAACAGTCTTTAAACTAAGCTGGTCTAAGTCATGGGAAGGCTAATTAACAGAGCACCTGAAACAACCTCTAGGCTTATTGAAGTCGTGGCATGGCTAAATTCCAAATTAAACTTTGAAACAACCTCTGGGCTGATCTAAGTCCGGGCACGGCTAACTCACAGATAGAACCCTGAAACAACCTCTGGGCTGATCTAAGTCAGGGCATGGCTAACTCACAGATAGAACCCTTAAACAACCTCTGGTCTGATCTAAGCCAAGGCACAGCTAACTCACTCTGATCTAAATCAGCAAATAGTGCACTCACAAATCCATGATTGATTTGCGAGTGAAAGGTGAGTGCACACCCACTTCTGTCTCCCTTGATTCAACTATCATAGAAAAGTACCAAAAGCTACAGAGCAATGATTTAGTATGAAATATATAGGGATCATGATGAAGTTATCTCAAATGTACTCAGATGAAACCATAGAAGACAAGAACAAATTTATTTTAAATTGATAGAAAAATATTTTTGTTTTACTGTATGACATTTTTTAAAGAAAATATTGTTCTTTTCACATTATATTATCATTAGTATTATTTTGCTACTACTTTAGAGATTTCATTTGGTTTGCAATACAAAATAGGATTTTTCCTAAAAGAATACTTTGTATGAATCATCATTATAGTCAACATAACGAACAGAAACTAGAGCTTAATAACTTTCTTAGTTGAACTTTGGCATGCCGCCAACAATTCCAGACTCTATTCCACACTCATCACTGCCTCTCAGGATCTTGAAGAAACCTTAAAGAAAAAAACATTCATAATATTAGGATTATAGAATGGTACGACTCGCTGGGAGCAAGAAAGAGGTCACAGACAAAATATAATACTACAGATCTCACAGAACTGTGGTGACACGTCTTGCTACACCCTAATTCATCTACTGTCACGCCCCATTTTGTTACATGTATTACAGTGAATACCTTACTGGCAATGTGCTAGATCCGAGACAGTGACAAAAGTAGGTGTGTCAGTGGACTAATTAGGGTGTGGTAGCGAGACAAATTTTTGACGTGTCGCCACAGTTTGGTGAGATCCGTAGTAATTAGCCAACTGTTCCTTTGACTAATATAAATATTAATATAAATACCTTTATCACCCCAGTCAGGGTTCCATGAGTTAGCAACCAGCCAGTATGGTGTACCATTTTCCACTCCCCAACCAAGGATCTTTATAGCATGACCACCCAATTCTCCACCGCTTTTGTGTTGATAGACACCTTAAAAGACAAAAAAGAAAAGCATTCTAAATTTCAAAGCTTGTCATCAGACAATGTCCAGCCAGAATTGGATTTTGTCTGGTCAAATCTTTGCCTCACCAGTTGATTTGGCCAGAAACAAGGTTTGATAATAATTAATAATAATTAAATAATAATTAATTAATTGATTTTGAGCTAAAACGTATTTGACACCTCATTATGATCCACCAATGACCAGCCATATTTATTATAAGCCCTGCAATTTATCCATATTGTTTCTTGGATTTTATTTCACCAAATCAAAATGGAAGCCTAGTAGCAGCCGGGTGGCACCGGAGTTACATATGACGATGTGATTGGGTATGTGAAAGTAGCATAATGTTAAGCGTGATTCATGAATTCCAGGTTAGCTACGATGTGTGATGATGTGTAATTTATGAATGATTGATTTGACACGTCAGTTTTAGAAATGTCGTTGCCTGAATTTCAAAACCCACCCTGGTGGCACAGGAGTTGATTGTGTGATTTGATTTGTTTAATTGTGAGATTTGATTCGTCAAAATAGAAAAGTGTGATTCGTGAATTCCAGTTCAACTATGCATGCGATTCTTTCCTTGAAATTTGTGTGATTTGTGAATTAATATTAATTTGACATGTGAATTTTAGAAAATTCAACGTCTGAATAGGATGTCGACCCACCCCTTTTTTGTGCGTTTGAAATTATTGCAATGTACATCAAAGGGGATCCTGTGTCCTATATTGTGCAGCATGCACCTACAGGCAAAATCTCCAAATCAAAATTTAAACAACTCGATATCTTGTGCTGCGACTCACCACTTTTGTAGGTTGGGAAGTCAGCGTAGACAGTAAATGCTCCTTCAACTGGACCATTAGTCATGATCTCTTTTTGGATTTCACTTGGATCACTTCCCACTGAATAAGCACTCATTCCGTGACGCTTGTCATCAGAGTAGCTTACATTGTATCCTATAAGTAAGAATTAGTGAATACAAATATAAAAATATAGGTCAACAATTTTAATGCGGCAGGATATTCCTAATAAATGATTAAGACGGAGGGGGGTGGGGTAGTGGAGCTTGTACCTCAGGGGAGGAAATGTCTTCTAAAACAGAAAGGTGGGATTGCATCCAAGGAATGGAGAGGAGGAGAGGGTGGGGGGCTTATAAATGAGATTCTACAATATTTAAAAGCAAAGACACCAACCTGCTTCACATTTGTGTTTGCACTCTGGTGTTGGCTGTATTCCTTTACATGGTAGAAGCTTGCCAACAACATGGTGGTCGCACTTAGCGATGAGGTAAGGCTGACAACCCTCATGAGAGCCATACTGACCACCAGTTACGATACCATCGTTTTTCCAATATTGCCTGTTAAATGATTAAAAACCTTTCGTAAGACAGCGTGTTAAATGCAGTATATTGATAATGCTGGGAATGACATTTGCTCTGGCTGCTGAGGCAGCTAGGGTGTAAATCAAGCTGAGCCAACTGACTCCTGGTTTGCTAGGTTGCACTTAGGTTCTGCTGCATGGGGGGTTGTTGGTTGAAACCTCAGCCAGACAAACTCTTGGGGGCTTAATATATCTGAATAGATGGTGCTGTCTTTTCTCTAAAAAAAACTGCTGTACATAGACATAGTTCTATCTTGATTCCCATGTAGGTAAATGTAAATGAATGAAAATAGTTGTAGGTGCATGTGTGACACGCACTGTTTTGTACATCTGTATAATTGCAGCTCAATATAGTGCCTTGGGTAGAGTGCCTTATATATGATCACAATCCATTAATTTAATCGAATCACTCACCAAGCAGCTTCTGGGTAACCTCCATTGCAACTAAAAGAAAAAAGAAAAGGTTGATAATTAGTTTTTGTGCACTCTTTGCTAATCTGCGTTCTACTATGTAGCTTAATTATTTCTATGAGATCTGGGATTTTTGGCATCAGTCAAATAATTACTAATGTGGATAAAAACTTGCTCATGCTGTGTTTAGAGTTTTGAGTTCTAATAGGACAATTGCATGACGCTATACAGTACATCATTAACTACAGCTACCAGGATCCCTTGCACACCTTTTGTTCAGTTTAGTACTTACCCAGCTCCACAAGAATCACAGCAAGTTAGAAGATCCTCTGCAGAGATGTGAGGTGTATCCTTGTTCTTAGAGTGGATACAAAAACGATCAGTCATTGCTTCAACTGCACCAAATGCCTAAAAGAAAAAAGCATGCAAATATTTTAAATGAATTCAGTAGCAAAAACAATTTACCTGCTTGATCTTTATTATAATGATGTTAATGTTTTTTAGACACTTTGTAGGGATTGTTTGAGGGAATTGCAGGGTTCGATCTGTGAGTTATCCATGCCCTGACTTAGATCAGTCCAGAGGTTGTTTCAGGGTTTGACCTGTGAGTTAGCCATGCCCCGACTTTGATTAGCCTAGAGGTAGTTTCAGGGTTCTATCTGTGAGTTAACTATGCCCTGACTTTCATCAGCCCAGAGGTTGTTTCAGGGTTTGATCTGGGAGTTAGCTATGCTCTGACTTAGATCAGCCCAGAGCTTGTGTTTCAGGATTTGATCTGTGAGTTAGCCATGCCCTGACTTTGATCAGCCCAGAGGTTGTTTCAGGGTTCTATCTGTGAGTTAGCCAAGCCCTGACTTAGTTCAGCCCAGAGCTTGTGTTTCAGGATTTGATCTGTGAGTTAGCCGTGCCCTGACTTTCATCAGCCCAGAGGTTGTTTCAGGGTTCTATCTGTGAGTTAGCCGAGCCCTGACTTAGTTCAGCCCAGAGCTTGTGTTTCAGGATTTGATCTGTGAGTTAGCCATGCCCTGACTTTCATCAGCCCAGAGGTTGTTTCAGGGTATCAATTAATGTTTTTAATGAACATACCCAGCAACTTCCACATGAGCCTTGGTCCCTGACTTCTTTAATACTGGCACAGTTTGACCATTCTTCCCTGGAGTCAAAGTTATCAGGTATTTCCATGGCACCAAGGGATTCACGGACTGAGATGCAACAATGATTTGAACATTTTAGAAGCTTATATCTTATGCAATCATTATTTTGTTCCTATTGCCCAAGGGTTTCAATAGAGGGTGGCTACTGGCCATTGATCTCAAGGTAATTCATCTTTCACTGCCGGTTATTTCATGGATGTTTAAATGTAAAATCATTAATATTAATCTAGTGCTGGACACAGCCACCTATTTTTTTCGAGAGAGCCAGTGATCTCGCCTCGAAGCCCTCATATTTAAAAAAGGTTCACTCAAAATATGACTCCATTTTGGAATTCATCATGGAACTTTTGTCGATTCAACAAAAATGCTTCTGATTGGCTAATAGTATACGGAAGTGCATGCGCAAGACCACCTGGAGCTTCTTACTTCAAAAAAATACTGAATTCTCTTTTATTTCTTTTTCTTTTTCAATTTACATACTCTCATATCCGAGTAGATGGCTTTCCCACATTTTTAATCTAAAGCTCCCCTTCCTCATACAGTAGCATATTACTTGATCTAAAGGTAAAGTAAAGTACCTATATTTAACGTCGGTAGTTCCTTCAGTTAAAATTCAACTGCTATCAATGGAAGCCAACGGTGCGCACTTTACCCCCTCTCTCAATCAGTGCTCTGTTTTAAGAGTATTTAAAGCTGAAGCTACATATGGATTAGAGAGAAATCGAAACAGTTGGGAGATCCTAAGGATCGAACTGTGGACCTCAAGCTCTGAAGGTCGCGCACTAACCAATTGAGCTACGTCTGCTCCTGCACCTTGTAGTATTGGGCTCCCTATGTTTGCATTAGCGTGCCTTGTGAAGTTTAAACAAAATGCACCAATGTAGTGTTGCTGAAATTAAGGTAGCTTGTCATCGTTGCCCCAATAATACATAAAATAAGCAAGAAATACTTAGCTTGCCTTTTTTTTTGTCAGATCTCTTTCAAATTTGACTTTTAAGATAAGACATAAATAGGCTGGAATCATGCCACATCTCACATGATATGACTTAAAAATTGATGAAAGATGCTTGCCTCGTGACATTATTTCTCACTGCATTCCGATTATTGGTGAGGATTTTATGTGTATTTATTTAATACAGTCGAAGTCGTGAGTTCTGGCATAATGTTTCATTTCTATCAAGCCAGTAAAAAATTACACGGAATAAAGTTTACACAATATTAGTTGCATAGCAACTGTTTTAAACTAGTGTCGATAACTGCATCTTTCTTTTTCTCGTAGCAGAAAATATTTAGACAAGCTATAGGGTTTCTGCATAATTTAGCTGAAGCTCAGCGTCGAAATATCTACTGTATCATGAACTTTCAAATTCGGATAATTTGCATTACCTTTTTATTTTGAAACCTCCGTTTCTAAACATGTAATCTTATCTAAAACGTTACATTGTAAAATCCTTACTTTTTAGTAAAGGTACTGGGCTTTTTAAAGCTCCACACATCGCTTTGATGTCGTCAATTGTGTAGACAGAATCATCAAAGTTCTTGCCAGCTTTCCAAGTCATTTCTTCAAGACTGTTGATGTAGTCGATAGCTTCTTGTGATAACGGATTGATGTTTGCCGGCATTGCGCTGGCAACAGCGATGGCTAGAGACAATACTAGACACGATAACATGCTGAATTTGTCCTCCTATTTCGCGCTTTCAAACCGTTGCTTCAAGCTTCTTTGGAGAAGTGTAGAGTTGTGACGCTTCATCGATCGATCACGAGTTCTGCATGTGATTCCATGTGACTTCGGAACTTCACGTTTCACGTACACGCTTTACGATCACGTAATTCTTACCACAGGGAGCCCAATTCAAATATATTCAAAATAATTCAAAATAATTCAGATAAAATTCGTCACTGCAAGTACATTAGCCTGGTAAAAGTACTATTATATGAGCAGGTCTTGGAAGTTCAAATTATATAACAATATTGTATTACTTCTGTTTAATCCTGAGTTTGCCATGTTCAAAGAAAGCTATCAAATCATATTATATCCTGATAGCATACTTGTACTGCATTTGCTGATTCCATAAGTGCCACTCTTTATTATGCCCACCACTCTATTAAGCCCCCCTCTATTAATGCCCCCTCTCTAATAGGCCACCTCCTCTCTATTAAGCCCCCCTCCCTATTAAGCCCCCATCTCTATTAAGCCCCCTTTCTATTAAGCCCCCTCTATTAAGGCCCCTTCTCTATTATTCCTCCTTAAATGGGCCTCCCCTTGGATGTTAACAGAAGAACTATGGTAGCACCAACATGGCTATTGTGTCTTCATGTTTTGACTCTCTTGTTAGTAGTTGCAAACACAGCATCGATGAATGGATAAAGAAAAAAAATTTTGTTAAAATTATTTATTGCATACTATATATCTACCATACTACTTACAATATCTTACAAAATCTATCATGCATGTATTCTTAAATAGCTATTTATAATATGCATCAAATCTGAATTAATATCATTATTTCTTTAAATTTACCATAATTCCCTAATACAATTCAATTTTGTAAAAATATTATGCTAAAAATATCATTATGTAAAGATATTATTATGCTATAAAACCTAAAACTATATAAGTAGTTGGTGGCTGTTATTACTTTTCTAAGTTCTATGATTTTTGATTAGCATTAAAACAAAATATTGTTTTATAATGCATGTGTCGTCATAAGTGAAATAGGGGCAATTTAGTACCTCATAGAGGAGCATACCGTCAACAGAGCAGTGCTTGCAGATGTCTTTATCATCTGCCCTCCGTTTTGGCTTTTGGTCAAGTCAAACCTGCTGTTCAGCTACAGAGGGCAAGAAAAATAACCTCTGCTTTAATACAAAGTAATAGATACATGGATAACACAGTCCAATGGTAGGGGGATGAATGGCAAGGATTTTCACATCACCTTGACCCCTACTACCATTGGTGTTCACAGTTTTCTTAATTTGACTCTAAAAAGCTACAAGTTATATATGATTTGCTTTAGATAACAGCTGAATGTGAACTCTGTACACTGTGTCCAAACGATTTTTCAAAATCAGAATCATCACGTGGTTCACTATGCAATTCCCTTCTTGCTACGATAGAAGCAATATCATCATCATCGGCCTTCACACCTGGAGGGGAGTTCCAAGCCTGTTCTTTTCCACTTCCAAATATCAAAAAGAACAGAAGTCCAGAGAAATAGATTACACACGTGATGTAAAACACTTTTTTCCACTGTGCCCTCATACCCTAATGGATAAGTTAAGAGCAACAGTTATCAAAAACTTTAATTGTTTGAATTTATATCACAAAATCCTTACATATTTTTTTGTGTGCAACATGAGATAACCATTGACGGCATGCACTGCTACAGCTCTGTCTTTCACTGCTGTGTGTAGTTCGCACCTGGGGTCGCGGGGTTCATTTTACCCGATTGAGTCACATGAGTTAAGTTGCTTGATGCATTGTTCTCAATCTTCTCTTAGAACTACAATGGTTTTTCTCTGGATTTTCCAGTTTTCCTCTCTTCATAAGAATCGACATATGAGTTGAATGCTGTTTGCTGTAAATAAAGAATGTAGTACCCTGGCCTGTAGGGTAGTGCATGTGGAGTGCTGCATGGAAGTTATTGAAGGAGCATAGCATTGTGCACCTTGTATGTGGATGGAATAAAATATCTAATTAGGGGATCAAGGGAAGAACACCCCTCCTAGATAAACTGCATGATAACCCTATTATTGGTGTTTGAGTTTGTAAGCAAATGGGCCCTCCTAAAATCAAAAGTTTCAGAATATTATAATAAATATATCTTATACCTGATGGTTGGTCAAATAGCCAGCAACAACTGGTGAAAGAATGCCAGGAATATTTGTCCCAACATTAGAAATTGACATCACGATGCTAGAAAATCTTGGCGAAAGATCAACTGGGTTGGTTGCCCCTGTTGGAGCATACAAGCCAAGTGCTCCACATGATATGGTCAAGAAGACTATTGATAAAACATCTTGGCTGCACTTTAAGAACCCCACTGGTAAAAGGAGACCTGCTCCTATGATTAATGCTGAAACACAAAACAAAGAACAAAAAAAAAAAAAAAAAAAAA